TCTTTAGCACAAGGCCTGGTGCACAGTAGATGCTCAGTATTATTCCTGTCACTACTGTGGCAGATTAGAGATGCCTGTAAATTTGTTGACTCCTCCCATCAAAACCTGGGGTCTCAGCCCCTCCTCTTGAATCTGGGTGAACTCTGTGACTGCTTGACCAACAGAATGTGGTGAGAGTGACCTTGGCCAGTTTCAGAGCCCAGGGCTTAAGAGACTGGCAGCTATCACTTCTGTCTCTTGGAACCCTCACCCAGAGCCACCATGTATGGAGCCTGACCACCCTAAGGGCACCAGGCTGAAGATACCATGTGTAGTCAACAGTCGCAGTTCAGCTCAGCCTTCCAGCCGTCCCTGCCAAGATGCCAGATGTGGCAGTGAAGACATCTTAGATGCTCCAGACCAGCCCATCTATCAGCTGAATACCACCAAGTGACCACGGTCAGTGATACATGAAAGAACCATCCAAATGAGCCATGCCTGAATTCCTGACCCACAAAACCAGGACAGACAGTAAAATGGTCATTGTTTTAAGCTGCTATGTTTTGCATAATTTGTTGCATAGCTATAGATAATCGGGGCAACCACTGTCTAAGTATTTGAAAGTAATTGTTCTCTTCCAGATGGAACCCGCCCACCCTTACTCAGCTGTTGCTCACATGATGAGGCTTTGAGTCTTAGGACCATTGCAGTCAACTCTCTTCTGAACAGTTGAAACCCAGCACTAAAAACATCCCCCAAGGTGATCTGCCAGGCTGTGCCAGTTAGGACTCTACTCAGAATGGCTTAAACAAAAAAACAAGAAAGAAAGAAACTATTCAACTTACAGATTGGCTTCAGGTATGGCTGGATCTAGGTGCTCCAATGACGTTATCAGGTTCCGTTTTGTTATGGCTTTATTCCCAGAGACAAAAGACTTTTGAAACTCAGCTTTATATCCTCTTAGGGCCTACTCCATCCCAAATACATGGACTGAAAGTGGGGAGATGTGATTCTCCAAAGGAAAAACTAAGTGTACCACCATGGGAGAAGGATAAATGGATGCTGGGCAGCCGTACTGTAGATATCTACCTTAGCAGTTAAAAGGAGAGTGGAAAATCACCTCCCTCATTCTAGATAGCATACCTCTATTAATGTAGGCCAGGACCACATCATCACCTCACAGTAATGACTCACACTAGATTTACAGGGGTATGTCTCCTCATCTGCTGCTGCTTGGCCTCATCTCTCTCACCTCCTACCATGTGAGGGCTGCAGACTTTGAAAAGTTCCCCCTCTCCACCTCTGTCCCAAGTATAGCAAGACTATTGGAGCACAGAGATGAACCAGACTGGGCCTGTGCCCCCTCCACCTTCTCTGCTTTGTCATCCCTCCCCTCGCAGACTCAGAGTGATTCAAAGGGGGCAGCTTAGGCCCCAAGGCAGATTTACCCACAAAAATTGCACAAATCCAGGGCCAGACCTAATTCTTTTCGGGGCAAAAACAAGTCCTATTGTCTCTTCATAAACCCATTGCTGTAGAGTCGATTCCCACTCATAGCGACCCTGTAGGACAGAGTAGAACTGCCTCATAGGATTTCCTAGGCTGTAACCTTTACAGAAGCAGATCGCTAGGTCTTTTCCTCTGTGGAGCCTCTGAGGGATTTGAACCACCTACCTTTCGGTTAGCAGCTGAGTGCTTAACTGTTGCACCACCAGGGCTCCTTTGTCTCTTCATCAAACAAACAAAAAAATCAAACCCATTGTCATCGAGGCGATTCCAACTCATGGTGATCCTATAGGACAGAGTAGAACTGCCCCTATAGGGTTTCCAAAGAACAGCTGGTGGATCCGAACTGCTGAACTTTTGGTTAGCAGCCACAGGTGTTTTTTTTTTTTTTTAATTGTGCTTTAGGTGAAAGTTTACAGCTCAAGTTAATTTCTCATACAAAAATTTATACATATATTGTTTTGTGCCATTAGTTGCAATCCCCACAAGGTGACAGCACATTCCTCCCTTTCCACTCCAGGATCCTTGTGTCCATTTAACCAATTCTTGTCCCTTCCTGCCTTCTCATCCTGCTTCCAGACAGGAGCCACCCATTCGGTCTCGTGTATCTGATTGAACTAAGAAGCACACGCTGACGTGTATTATTTTTTGTTTTGTAGTCCTGTCTAATCTTCATCTGAAGAGTGGGCTTCGGGAATCGTTCCAGTGCTTTGACGTAGCTCTTAACCACTGCGCCACCAGGGCTCCTCTGCCTTCATAGGGGTGGCTTATTTCCCCGAGTGGATAGGTGGCGTTTGCATATAATGTATGTGTATCTGTAAATAACAATAACAACAACAAACGATCCATTCAAAGAGCACACCTTTAATGCTCTCAGTCCACAGAGCGCCAGACACCTGAGATTTCTGAGGCCTTGGCTTCAGAATCAGAGAATGTTTGGATGGGACCCTTGAATTCTTACACAGTCTGATCACTTGACAGACAAGTAAACGGAGGCTTAGGGAGGCCCTGGCACATAACTGTCCCAAGGTCACTAAACATGTGAGTGGCAGAGTGACCATTAGAATTTTGTCCTTCTGAGAGCTCAGCTCTCCCGCACTGCTTGGCATATTTACCTGATTGAGTGCACAGGTCCCAGCACGGTGAAAAAAGGTTTTTTGTTTGTTTGTTTGTTTTTTTAGTTTCATTTTGCTATTGGTCCATTGCATGGTGGGGGCTGGGAAGGGAGACGCTGTCAAGGGGATTACCCCATTCATTCATTCACTTAACCAATATTTATTAAGCACCTACTGCGTAATTGGCACTGTGCCGGGTGCTGGAGGCACAATTCGGGGAGGGGGGAATGACTGCTTGCAAAGTTCTCAGCAGCAGGCAGAGTGGAGAGAGCACAATCAATGCAAGAATCACACAGATTCAGGCATACTACAGACAGGCATGGAGAGTACCAGGAAGGCAGAGGACAGGAGGCATACTGGCACATTCCACTGACTGAGTGTGGGGGTCAGGACGGCTCCCCAGAGGAAGTAACGTTTGAGCTGAGCTATGAAGACATTTCCACAGGCATTTACAGTAAGTGCTGCAAGGGCAGCCTGTCCTTCGCCCACCTCCTCACTAAACTCCCAGCATTCCCTAAGCCCGTCAGGAAACTTCCAGTAACCCATTCCCTGCCTGACCCCTCTGTGACACGTATTGAGTATTCCAAGGATGATGACCTAAGACCGTTACACAGCAGCCAAGCACGTGCTGGCGGGGAAGCAGGATGTGCAGGAATTTGGGCACCATCTGCACTCCTCCCCCAGCATCCACTGGGGAAGAAAGTTCTGTGGGGTTTTTCTTTCTGAGTGTTCCAGGGCGATGCCAGCTTTCCAGATGGCTGCTTCCTCCTGAGGTGGGAATTCAGTTCCTTCCTGCTTCCCCGCCTGGCAAACACTTCCACACCCTCAGGCCAAGACAATGGCCACCTCACTGGCCTACCTCCTCCGGACTGGGTCTCCTATCTGCTCACCCTGCACCTGAGTTCACCTTTCATCCTGGCCGTGACCCTGGGATCACTTTTCCCTCATCAGCTGTGGAACCGGCCCCATGACTGTGACCTTCCTGGACACAAGGCTTCTTGAGCCCTCATCTTGCCCATGGGTGATGCCTGTCCTAAGATGGCATTCAGCTTCTGCGGGGGCCTCTGGTTAGAATCACTAGGCTCTGCCACTCACAAGCTCTGCAACCTTCGGCAAGCTACTTAACCTCTCTGGGCCTCCATTTCCTCCCCAGAGTCCCTAGGTGGTGCAAACAGTTAACCAATCAGCTGCTATCTGAAAGGCTGAAAGTTCAAATCCACCCAGACGCACCTCAGAAGAAAAGCCTGGTGATCTACTTCTGAAAAATCAGTCGTTGAAAACGCTATGGAGCCTAGTTCTGCTCTGACACATATGGGGCCGCCTCCAGTAGGAGTAGACTCTATGGCAACTGGCCTAAAATGAGAATAATGGATAGTCATTACCTCACAGGGTTATTATAGGATTAAATGAAATCTGACACATAAAGAGCTTAATACAGTCCCTGTCACACACTAAAGCACTCAGTATACAATGGCTAAGACATCAATAACTAGTCCAGGGGTTTAATATGAGGCTACACAATTATTAAAGAGCCCTGGTGGTACAATGGTTAAGTGCTCAGTTGCTAACCGAAAGGCTGGCAGTTCAAATCCACCCAGCGGCTACGTGGGAGAAACCTGGCAATCTGATCCAGCTAGAAAATCCCACGGGGCAGCTCTACTTTGTCTCATGGGGTTGCCATGAGTAGAAAGTTGACTCGCTGATACCTGACAACAACAACAACACAATTATTAAGCGCTGATTGGTACAAAGAGTTTTTTGTAACCTGCCCCCACCTCCCCACTTCGTTTGAGCAGGACCCCAAGGACCTGCCAGAAGAACCAACAAATCTGTCTTGGAAGAAGTACAGCCTGAATGCCCCTTAGAAGCAAGGATGTCGAGATTTGTCTCATTTACTTTGAACATGTAATCAGGAGGGACCAGTCCCTAGAGAAGGACATCCTGCTTGGTGAAGTAGAGGGTCAGTGAAAAAAAGAAAGACCTTCAACGAGATGGATTGTCACAATGGCTGCAACAATGGGCTCGAACATAGAAAAGCTTGTGAGGATGGCGCAGGACCGGGCAGTGTTTCCTTCTGTTGCACACAGGGGTCGCTATGAGTTGGAACCGACTCCACAGCGCCTAACAGCAGCGATAACAACTAACCAACAGGTTCAAGTAAAGCATAGGTGGGAGGAAAGCTGTGCACACAGCGGAGGGCACGGTGCAGGGTGCTTGGCGCACTGACCGGGCGCCCCGGCACACTGTGTCCTTCCTCTGCACCCAGTCCCTCCGGCGCCCAGGCCGCCCACGGCGAACGTAGGGCGGTTCTGGGAACCGGTGCCCTGCGGCCCGTGTGCAGAGCCGGCTGCGCTCGGCCCGTGCACCGCGCAGTGACTCAGCGCCGGGCGTGTGCAGGCTGGCCCAGTGAAGGCGGAGATTTTGCACTCCATCCGGCTTTTTGCCGTTATAAAAGCAGCGCGCTACGCGTTCGGCTCCAACACGCTTTCTTGAAGCCTTAGCATTAGTTGTTTGTCTCCAGACTCCAGCCACCTCTTCAACTCACCATGGACCCCAACTGCTCCTGCGCGACCGGTAAGCGTGCCTGGTCCCGGGATGGGGACGCCATATTTGGACTGTAGAGCTAGTAAAGCATTTTTTGACCCCTTATTATCAACCTGCCCGTTCAATTTGAGGGTAATAATTGCCTCTTCCCAGAAGGTGTTGGTGTACATTTCTCTTTGGATTCTAGATTATTCTGAGCCTCGTTTTCCTGATAAAGAGACCAAAGTTTACGCTTTGCCCAAGTTCCCGCGAATTAGTGGTAGAGCTGGGACTCGAACCGGGGTTCCTAGCACCCAGTCTAGCGTTTAGGGCTTCATGGACCGATGTCATCTCTTTCTCCTTGCAGGTGGCTCCTGCGCCTGCGCCGGCTCCTGCAAATGCAAAGAGTGCAAGTGCACCTCCTGCAAAAGGAGTGAGTGAGATCCTGTCTTCGCCTCCCCGTCCCCAGCCCTCTGCGCCTTCCTGGGGGGAATTTAGAAGTGGAGTGCGGGGGAGACGGAGGCATCCCTTTCTGCTGAAAGGTGGTACCTCAACGGTGCCCCGTGTTGGGTACTAAAGTAATCCTCATTCCTACTGTCAAGTGCTAATTTCTGTCCCCTCCTTTCCCTTCCCCAGGCTGCTGCTCCTGCTGCCCCGTGGGCTGTGCCAAGTGCGCCCAGGGCTGCATCTGCAAAGGGGCATCTGACAAGTGCAGCTGCTGCGCCTGACATGGGAGAGCCCTGCCCAGATGTAAGCAGAGCAACCTGTACAAAACTGGAGGGTTTTTTTAATTTTTTTTTTATACAACCCTGACCCGTTTTTGATACATTCCTTTTTCTACGAAATATATGAATGATAATAATAAAAGTTGATGACTTTATTCTGGCTCTGGTTTCCTTTGTGTGGGTTGGAAACAGAGGGAAGCTGTGATCAGCATGGCTGGGTGTGGGACTGGACTGGGATTCCAGAGATCTGGGTTCTGGACCCAAATATTAGCCTCTCCCAAACTAGCTAACTCTCTGAGCTTCAGTTTCTTCATCTGAAAAATGGGAAGAGCATTCTGCCAGCTGGTGTAAGGGTGTGGAGCAGACACATCCTCCCGCTGTTCCCGCGTCAAGTATCGATGGCACAGAGACCGACATTAATCTCTCATCTTCGTTCTCCGGGGATTCCCTGCACGACCTCTCTCAGCAGATGTTGGGCTTCAAAGGGTCTCTCAGGCGATGGAGTTCAATTCCCTTCCTGCTTGAATCCCCACATTTGAGAGAGCTGCTCAAACGCCCTGTGCAGAAAGACCAACCTGTATTTCCTACCCGCCCTGTGCAGAAAGGCCAACCTGTATTTCCTACCTGTTGCAGACCTAAGAGTGGGTAAAATAAAATAAAACCGAATTACTAAGAAAATGATATAAATGAACAACCCAAAATACAAACCCACTTTTTTACATTAAACAGTAAAATTTGAATAAATGTAGGAAGAACAAAATAACATAATAAATAACAAAAGAATTGTAAAAACTGCAGGTTTTTTCACCGAACATGGGCATGGCAGATCAGAAACAGTCTGCGGATGGCCCCAATGTGTGGGGCATGCATCCCTTGACTAACACTGCCCTACACATTCCCACAGGGAACCATCAGCCTCGGCTTCCCTAGTGCCACTGGCAGGTCACTCACGACCCCCAGTTCTGGATTAGCTCTGAATCTTGAGAAGTTTCTCCTAAGATCAGGCTGAAATCTGTCCCTCCTTCATATTCCAGCCGTTGGCTAGTTCAAGCCAGCAAAGTGGCTAGGGATTTAGAGGGAATTGTCCAGCCGTTTCCCAACAAGATGGCGTGTACGTGAGAATTGGATCCAGATGAAGTAGTTTCTGTCTGCCCATGAAGGCATGATGGCGGGTTCTGCCACTGGGAGGGTGTGGTGGTGTTTATTAGGCAGGAGTGGGGCCCAGGGTGACTAGTAATTAATGCTAACAGTGAGTCCCCCTGGCTATTTATTGAGGGAATTGCTATTTGATGTTAAATCAAGGAAGATGAGGCACATGGCCCAGTAGTCAGGACTGCACTTGCCCAGTGGTGTCCTGTGTGAAGAGGAGATTTCAGAAACCAACATGTGTTAAGTGCATGGGTTTTGGTCTCAGGGACCCAGTTTCACAGCCTACCTCACCACTTACCTGCTGTGTGACCTGGACAAGTCCCTCAACCTTGCTGAGACTCCATTTCCTCATTTGTGGTATGGAGGTCATATTTCCATACGAGGATTAAGTAAGTTAGTGGCCTGACTCCTGGTTAGGCCTTAAAAAACAGTGGCCATTAAGATCATTTTGTCCACATTGATTTTGATGGAAAGAATCTTCTTAAATATCAAAAAGCTTCTGGGGAAAGGCCTGTCTGGAAGCATTGCTCTGGGCTAGAGCCCTGGGTGGGAGTGGAGACTTGCTGATTCTGTGCCCGGGGGAGTGTGGATGACCTCCTGCACAAACCCTCCCAGAGAAGATGCTTCTCAAGATTTAGACAGAGGCAAGACTTTTCCACCCTTTATGTCATTTATCTTCACACAACCCAGTGAGAGAGAGACAGCGAGCATGCAGGGGTTGGAATGATTGTGCTGTTGTCCAGACAGATTGAGCAACTTGCCTGAGGTCACACAGCTCAGAAGTCAGAGGTTGAGTTTATGCTATACCTGGCTTAATGCCCTGGCCACACCAGATCATGCATGATGTCACTGGATGCTACATCTTGCCTGTCATACTTGGGGCCTTCGGAAATGGTCCATTTCTGATCCTGGCTTGACAGATGGGAAAGGGAAGTCAGAGAGGTCACAGAGCTAAGTAGACAGACTCCCAGCTCGGTGCTCTTTCCACCGGGCCTCAGTGTCAGGTTTTCAGCGTCCTGGTCCTTCACAGGAAGTGGTGGTGGGGTGGTGGGTGAGGGTATGATGCTGTGGTCAGCCTGCGTGAGGGCAGATCCCACCTCTGTAACCTGCAGTTTGTGAAACCTAACCTCTCTGAGGCTCAGTCTCCCTCCACTATAAAAGGGGCATAAAATAGCATCTGGCTCATAGGACTAAATGAGTTAATACACGCAAAGAACTTAGAATGGTGCCTGGCACGTGGTGAGTGCTCTGTAAACATGAGTTAGTGTTGTATTATTACCATCAATGCCATAGGGGACATTTCTCTACCTCCAGACAACTAAGCCTGGCCTGCTGTGCCTAGCTCTGTGTCATTTGCCACCATGTTTTACTGAACATTTTTCCTTTAAATTATTCATATTTTCTTAAATATATTTTTATGAGAAGTAAACTCTTTATCACTGCAGAAAATGAGTCATTTTTACCACCAGACATGGAAAATAACTATAAAAATGTATGTATACGTGTATCTGTATTTCACTTGCAGGTCACTTTTGTTACTGCTGGGTTTTAGCTTGGGCTTGCTCTTGTTTAAAATGTTTCAAGAAGAAAGAAAAACTTTTAAGCAGCACAAAGGTTCTGAAGACATACCTGGGCCAATGAGGCTTTTTCTTTTCCTTGGGAAGCTGACTAGATAGACATTACTGCCTAGCTGACTTGGGCAAGTTACTTAAACCCCTTGTGTCACAGTTTTTCTGTGAGTAAAATGGGCTCATAAATAATAGTATTTCCCTTTTAAGGTCGTTTGAAGGTTCAAAGAATGAAAGTGATTAAAACAGGGCCTTGTTGTTGCTGTTAGGTGCCTTCGAGTCTATTCCGACTCACAGTGACCCTATGTAAATCAGAACTAAACACTGCCTGGTCCTGGGCCATCCTCACAATTGTTGCTATGTTTGAGCCCATTGTTTCAGCTACTGTGTCAATCCATCTGGATGAGGGTCTTCCTCTTCCTCCATGACACTCTATCAAGTGTCATGGATTGAATTGTGTCCCCCAAAAATATGTGTCAACTTGGTTAGGCCATGATTCCCAGTATTGTATGGTTGCCCTCCATTTTCTGATTGATGTAATTCTCCTACATGTTGTAAATCCTAATCTCTGCCTGCGGTTAATGAGATTAGATTATGTTAAAGAAGATTAGGGTAGGATGAAACATTCTTGCTCAGGTCACATCCCTGATCAAATGTAAAGGGAATTTCCCTGGGGTGTGGCCCGCACCACCTTTTATCTTACAAGAGATAAAAGGAAAGGGAAGTGAGCAGAGAGTTGGGAACCTCATATCATCAAGAAAGCAGTGCTGGGAGCAGAGCGTGTCCTTTGGACGCAGAGTTCCTGCACAGAGAAGCTCCCAGACCAAGGGAAGCTTGATGACAAGGAGCTTCCTCTAGAGCTGAGAGAGAAAGCCTTCCCTGGAGCTGATGCCCTGAATTTGGACTTCTAGCCTACTAGACTGTGAGACAATAAACATCTGTTTGTTAAAGCCATCCGCTTGTGGTATTTCTGTTATAGCAGCACTAAATGACTAAGACATCAAGCATGATATCCTTCTCCAGAGACTGATCTCTCCTGATAGCATACACAAAGTACGTGAAACGAAGTCTCGCCATCGTTGCTTCTAGGCAGCATTCTGGCTGTACTTCTTCCAAGAAAGATTTGTGTGTTCTTCTAGCAGTCCATGGTCTATTCAATACTCTTCGCCAACACCACAACTGAAAGGCACCAATTCTTCCTCAGTCTTCCTTATTCATTGTCGAGCTTTCGCATGCATATGAGGCATTTGAAAATACTGTGGCTTGGGTCAGGTGCACCTTAGTTCCCCAAGTGACATCTTCACTTTTTAATACTTTAAAGAGGTCTTTTGCAGCAGATTTGCTCGATGTGATATGTTATTTGATTTCTTGATTGCTGCTTCCATGGGTATTGATTGTGGATCCAAGTAAATGAAATCCTTGACAACTTTAATTTTTTACTCTTTTCTCTGTTTATCATGATGTTGCTTCATGTTGGTTCAGTTGTGAGGATTTTCGTTTTCTTTATGTTGAGGTGTAATCCATACTGAAGGTTGTAGTCTTTGATCTTCATCAGTAAGTGCTTCAAGTCCTCTTCATGTTCAGCAAGCAAGGTTGTGTCATCTGCATAACGCAGGTTGTTAATTATTCTTCCTCCAGTCCTGATGCTATGTTGTTCTTCTTCACATAGTCCAGTTTCTCGGATTATTTGCTCAGCATACAGATTGAGTAAGTATGGTGAAAGGTATATTATTTAGTGCTGTGCCTGTTTACTACTTAAAATTCTCTCTCTCCTGGGGGCATCCCATGATTAGGGAAACACCATCCTGGATGTGGTGGGCTGGGTAGGCTGTGAGGAGCCACAGGATAGTTTTAAGCAAAGGAGGGACTTGGGACAGACATGCCCATTACATCCCTTCTTATGTGGAGAATGGAATGAAGGCAGGAAGGCAGAGCCTGGTTGAGACCATCTGTCTGTGTACTGGAGAAATGGGGCCTATGCCTGAGCTGGGGACAAGGAGAGCATATGTAGCAACACTTGCCATGAGAACAGAAAGAAGGCTGTATTTGCCCTTACATCATCAGGCACAATGCTCTTCCCATTTTATAGCTGAAGAAACTCATGCCCAGAGAGGTACCCTGACCTGCCTTAGCATCAGGCATTCCGTTTAGTAGGGGCTAACATTTAGGCCCAGAACCCAGGTCTCTGGACTCCCAGTCCCACACCCAGCCATGCTGATCACAGTGTCCCTTATTTCCAACCCACACAAAGAAAAGCAGTGCCGGAATAAAGTTAACACCGTTTATTATCATTTGTGTATTTCACAGAAAAAAGGAGGTAGCAAAGGGTTGTATGAGAAAAACTCGAGCTTTGAACAGGTTGCTCTGTTTACATCTGGGCAGGGCTCTCCCATGTCAGGCGCAGCAGCTGCACTTGTCAGATGCCCCTTTGCAGATGCAGCCCTGGGCGCACTTGGCACAGCCCACGGGGCAGCAGGAGCAGCAGCCTGAGGAAGAGAGAGGGGAGTGAGAGGTTAGATCAGATACAACCAGGCATCTCCCTCCAAAACAGCAGGGCAGGCACCAGCTCTACCCCAGTCAGCAGGGCCCTGAGTACTGGAGGGCCTGCTATGTCCCCAGACCCCTGGTCAGACTTTTCAGTCTGGGTCCCACTAGGAAGAAGCTGCCTTGTCCCATCTGAGCCCAGGATAGGGCAGAAAGCCTGTGAGGCAGTGACAGTTCGCAGAACACATGTGTCTCAGGGGAAAGGAATATCAGTCTCCAGAACCATACAGAGGGTGAGGATAGTCCTCAAAATGACAGTAGGGGGGAACCCATGACTGAGCACCATCTGGCAGCCCACGGAAGGTCTGGGCTGCCTCTGTAGGAAACGGCTGCACCAGCATCTGTTTCCTCCTTCTAGAATGAAAGGTTGAGACTCAACCATTTCTAAGGCTTTCAGCTCTAACTTGGAATCAGTTGCTGGGAGAAGGGGATGGGCAGAAGCTGGGTCGTTGACCTGCTCCTGCCTGCTGAGCCCTGAGTCTGGCCCCTGCTCAGCCCCCAGATTCCCGGGGAAGGTCCCACACTCACTCTTCTTGCAGGAAGTGCATCTGCACTCTTTGCACTTGCAGGAGCCAGCGCAGACACAGGAGTCACCTGCAAGGAAGACAGACGAGCTGTGAGCCATGAGTGTGATCCAGAAGATCTAGCAGTCAGTCAACAAACGCTCCCTGCACCTTGCTCTGAGCTGGGCTCAGCCCCGGGAGCTCCTGTCACCTCAGGGCAGACTGAGGTCTAGTCACCACCACTCTCCCCTCATGGTGGGAGGGGCAGTGTGCCCTCCTGTTTTTACTACACAGAGAAGGTCCCAGGCTCCAGAACCAACCCACAAAGCCTGAGGCCGGGAGGCCATGACCTTATGTCCTGAGTTCTAAAAAGGCAATGAATGTCCCCCACCTCCCATCCAGGCCAGGCAGCTAAGAGGCCTGGACAGAGCACTGGGGTCCAGCGCAGCAACCCCTGACCACCTGAGTGATGTCCAACATGACAGCTTCAACCTCAGTCCTGTCGCCTCTGAACTGGGGGGGACGCTGGGAAGATTCAAATGCTCTAGTTGGGGGAGGCGAAAGCACTTGGCGAGGGAGAAAGCACTAGACTTGAGAGCTAAAGGATGCACTTCAGCCCTGAACTCAAAGTGCTGCTTCCTCCACCCCTAGGGACGCTGAGTCCCGCGTCTAACAAAACGCCGGCATCCTGAGCCCAGAAGCCAGGCGTTCCTTACCAGTGGCGCAGGAGCAGTTGGGGTCCATTTCGAGGGAGGTAGGGCGGTGGTTGGAAGGCGGTCGATGAAGAGGATGTCAGGCTGCTGGAAGTCTTGCTGGAGCTCTCGAGGCCACCCGCCTCTTTATAGCCCAAGGAGCCGGCCCGGGCGCAAAGGCCCCGCCCCGCCGTGGCCCTGCCCCAGTGTCATCACCGCCCCGTGAGCCCCCGGCGGGCTGAGCGCAGCGTTGGGGCCGGGCGCACTGCCCCCTGCGCGCCGCTTGGTGCGCACCAGCCGCCGCCTCTTTGCGCCCCCGGACGGGAGGGGCCGTGCGCCGTGCGGAATTCGGTGTCCCAGCCGCCTGCACGCATGTTCCCAATTTTTTTGTGGCTGTCGGTTATTGCCGGCTCCCGGGTGTTCCAGGATCTCAGCCGTGGGATCACGTTGTCCTCTCATCCCTCTACCCTGTTATCTTCACGGTCGCCCTTTCCTGGAACCCGTGTGCAACCTCAGCCTCGCTCTCATGTACCCTGGGCGGGGGGGGGGGATCAGCCCGGGGTGGTTGTGTGGTGTGTGAGGAGGACTGGCCGTTGGTGACCTTCTCCCCCCGTCCGCAACATTCTTCCTGTCCCCTGTCTCTGCCTTTTGGCCCCGTTTCTTCAGTACACAGCAACATGCTCGATGTCCCTTCACCCCATCACCAGGCAAGAAGGCATTAAATGGGATCTTCTGCCGCGGGCCTTGCTTGCCTAACGCTGTTCAGAAGCTCACTACAGCCCAACCCCACCCAGGATGGCGTTTCCCAAAGCGTGGGATGCGCTCGGGAGAGATTATTTTAGGTGATGGGCAGTCTCAGTATTCAATAAGATTGCATAGCATTTACTATGTGCCACAACAAACCAAAACAAACCAGTTGTCATGGAGGTGATTTGGACTCAAGGCGACCCTATGGCATGGCGACCCCGTGACATTCCTTCCCCAGCGCTCTATCGGTAGCTGTGAGCCAGGCCTTTCCTGAAGCGCCTGTGGGTGCCCTGGAACTGCAAAACCTCTGGTTAGTGGTTTAGGCTGAACCCTTGGCGCCACCCAGGGACGGCGTTAGTATGTGCCAGGCACTGTTTCAATCAGTTTCATACTTATCGACCGTAAACGAGAAATACTATTATTTATGAGCTCATAATACTAATGAAAGGAGCCCTGGAGGCACAGTGGTTAGGCGCTCTGCCGCTAACAGAAACGTGGGCGGTTCAAACCCACCAGCCACTCTGCAATGTGGCAGTCTATTTCCGTTAAGATTACAGCCTTGGAAACCCCATGAGTCTGTTCTACTCTGTTCTGTGGGGTCGCTATGAGTCAGAATCCTCTGGACGGCAGTGGGTTAATACTAAGGAGTAACTAAAATAGGATGAGTGTAACTTGGCCAAGGTCACAGAGCTAGGAAGTGGTGTCTCTGGATGTGAACCAGGTCCCCTCCCAAGGGAAAGAGAAGTTCAAGGATAAAGCCCAACTCTGGTCCAAGCAGGGCTGCTGTACCTCTCTACTGCTTGACTTCCCCCCCACCTTTTTCTCTTTCTAAATTGTTATTATTTTTACCTATACTTTATATGAAGGTTTACAGAATAGATTCTCATTAAACAATTAGTACACGTATTGTTTTATGACAATGGTTAACAACCCCACAACATGTCAACACCGTCCTTTCTCAACCTCGCGTTCCCTATTACCAGCTCTCCTGTCCCCTCCTGCCTTCTAGTCCTTGTCCCTGAACAGTTGTGCCCCATTAGTCTCGTTTTGTTTTATGGGGCTGTCTATCCCTTTTCTCTTTTTGCTTAAAAATATTTTAAACAAGAGTAAATCTGAAGCTCAAGTCATGGCAGGGACAAAAGTGATAACAGAAATGAATGAAAAAGAATATACACACATGTTTTATGGTTAACTTCTATGTTTGAGAGTAAGATTAATTCTCATTTTCAGGAGTAATAAGGAATTTGTTTTTTCATTTGAATATATTACAGAAAATATGAATCACTTAAAGGAAAAATGTTCAGTAAAATATGGTACAGGTGATAGCAAAAATGACAGGTGTCCTCCGCCCACATGAGGGCGGATTCATAGATGTGCCCAGTGCCAATCTCAGCTTCGTGGGGAGAGTGAACGACTCTCTCTAGGCCACAGGTTACATTCTCACTTGGCTGATGAGGTGGCAAATGACACATGGCTAGGCACATCAGGCCAGGCTTAGTTGTCTGGAGGTAGAGAAATGTCCCCTATGACATGATGATAATAATACAGTAATCGCTCATGTTTATAGAGCGCTCACCACGTGCCAGGCACCATTCTAAATTCTTCGTATGTACTAACTCATTTAGTCCTTTGAGCCAGATGCTATTTTATGCCACCTTTTACAGAGGAAGAGATGAGCCACAGAGAGGTTAAGTTTCATAGCCTGTAGGTGACAGAGGTGGGATTTGCCCTCATGCAGGCTGACCATAACATCATACCCTCACCCACCCCCTAACACCACTTTCTGTAAAGGACCCAAAATCCAAAACCAAACTCTATTGCCGACAAGTCAATACTGACTCATAGAGACCCCATAGGACAGAACAGAACTGCCCCATAGGGTTCCCAAGGTTATAATCTTTAGGCAAGATGACTGCCACATCTTTCTTTCACTGAGTGGCTGGTGGGTTTCAACAGTCAACCTTTCAGTTAGCAGCTGAGCACTTAACCACTGTGCCACCAGGGCTCCTTTGTGAAGGACCAGGATGCTGAAAACCTGGCACAGAGGCACAATGGAAAGAGCACTGAGCTGGGAGTCAGGATCTGTCTGCACAACTCTGTGACCTCGCCTAGCTTCAGTGTCCCATCTGTCAAGACAGGGTTGGAACTGCATGGTCTCTAGGGTCCTTCCAGCTCTCAACTGTGACAGGCAGGATTTATCACCTAGGGACAAATGATCTGCCTGCTATGGCCAGGGCATTAGGCCAATTATAGTATATACAGGTTCAACCTCTGACTTCTGAGCTGTGTGACCTTAGCCAGGTTGCTCAATCTGTCTGGACAACTGCACAAGCATTCCAACCCCTGCATGCTCGCTGTCTCTCTCTCACTGGGTTGTGTGAAGATAAATGATGTGAAGGGTGAAGAAGTCCTGTCTCTGTCTATACGTTGAGAAGCGTCTCCTCCAGGAGGGTTTTTGCAGGAGGTCATGCACACTCCCCTGGGCACAGGATTAGCAAGGCTCCACTCCCACTCCAGGCTCTGGCCCAGAGCAATGCTTCCAAATAGACAGGACTTTCCCCAGAAGCTTGTAGGGATTTAACAAGATTCTCTCCAAAAATGTCAATGTGAACAGAATAATCACAATGGCCACTGTTTATTAAGGCCTGACCAGCAGTCACTCAATTTCATCTAATCCCCACATGGAGATATAATCTCCATTCCACAAATGACATAACAGGAGGTTCAGACAGGTTGAACCATTTGACCAGGTCACACAGCCTCTAAGTGGTGAGGTGGGCTGTTAACCTAGGCTTCCAGAATCCAAAACCTAATGTTGGTTTCTGAAATCCCCTCATCCCACAGGAACTCAGTGGGCAAGCAGGGTCCTGACTCCTGGGTCACATGACTCATTTTCTTCTTTGAACATTAAATAGAAATTCCCTCAACAAATATCCAGGGAGACGGACTGTTAGCATTAATTACCGGTCACCCTGGGCCCCACTCCTGCATAATAAACACCACCACGATCTCCCAGCATCAGAATCCGACATCGTCCCTGCATGGGGGACTTCATCTGAATCCAATTCTCACGTACACTCCATCTCGCTGGGAAACGGCTGGGCAGTTCCCTCCAAATCCCTAGCCACTTTGTTGGCTTGAACTAGCCAAGGGCTGGAATATGAAGGAGTGGCAGATTTCTGCGGGATCTTATAAGGAACTTCCAAAGCTTCAGAGCCAACCCAGAACAGGGAGTCTTGAGTGACCTGCCAATGGCACTAGGGAAGCCAAGGCTGATGGCTCCTGGTGGGAATGTTGGGGCACTGCTGATCGGCTGTATCTGCCCTGCCCTTTAGAACATCGGGCACAGTGCTCATCCCATTTTATAGGTGAAGAAGCTCACGCCCAGAGAGGTAGGCTGACCTGCCTTAGCATCAGCCATTTCAGTTTAGTAGGGGCTAACGTTTCGGTCCAGAATCCAGGTCTCTGGACTCCCAGTCCGACCGCCAGCCATGCTGATCACAGTGTCCATTATTTCCAACCCACACAAAGACAAGCAGTGCCAGAATAAAGTCAACACCGTTTATTATAATTTGTGTATCTCATAGAAAAAAGGAGGTAGCAAAGTGTTGTATGAGAAAAACTCCAGTTTTGTACAGGTCGCTTCATTTATATCTGGGCAGGGCTCTCCCACATCAGGCGCAGCAGCTGCACTTGTCAGATGCCCCTTTGCAGATGCAGCCCTGGGCGCACTTGGCACAGCCCACGGGGCAGCAGGAGCAGCAGCCTGGGGAAGAGAGAGGGGAGTGAGACGTTAGATCAGACCAGGCACCTCCCTTTCCCAACAACAGGCCTGGCACTAGCTCTACCCCAGGCAGCAGGGCCCTGAGTACTGGAGGGCCTGCTATGTCCCTAGACCCCTGGTAGGACTTTTGTGGTCAGGTTCCACTAGGAAGAGGCTGCCCTTCCCCATCTGAGCTCTAGGCAGAAAGCCTTGTGAGGCAGGGACAGTAAGCAGAGTACAAGGGACTCTGCGAGAAAAGGAAAATCAGCCTCCAGAACCATACAGCGAAGTGAGGAAAGTCCTCAGGATCACAAAGGAGGAAACCCATGACAGAGCAGTGTCGGGCTGGGCCAGCAAAGGCCTGGGCTGCCTCTGTAGGAAAGGGCGGCACCATCAGGTCAGAGAAACCACACATGTCCACAAGTTCACATGCATAAAGTGCTTCAGAACCCAACCCAAAAACCAAACCAGTTGCTGTCGAGTTGATTCCAACTCATAGCGACCCTATAGTATGACTTCGGAACTCAAGAGGGCTGAAAAAGCTGAAGTAGGAAGCAGGAGCATAGGTTCTAGTTCTGGTTCTGGCCTTGTCTGGCTGGAGAGCTCTCTGGATC